TTTCAAACTTTAACCATCTCTCTATTTTTATATCAGACCATCTTAGATTTAATTTCCTTTATTTAATCAGATGAAAATCTAATTGAGATGGAGATGACATTGACAAGGAGGACATAGGCGGAAACTGAGGAGCACACATCAAAAGTTATACCAGTCAAACACATAATATAAGACAATATAATCTATATATAACTCAAATAAGTGATACAAAAAAAAAAAAAAAACTGGGAATGCTTGTTTCTAAGAATTGCAATCATTTCTACGAAATATAAACTATTTAAAGTTCAGACTAGATTTAAGTCTGGACTTTAGGCCACTTGAAACCTTTAGGGTTTTCTCTCCTTGAGAGCAGACTACATGGCTGCATCGCCAGGCTGTCATGTTCTCACTAACATCTTTAAACATCCTTATGATTAACTTATCCCTCTGTTTTATAACTGATTTATAAATCTTCTTTCCAGAAAGGTCCACTCTTTTCCCGTCCTTCAGCAGATTCTGCCTCAGGATTGCTCACCTAATGTCTTTGACAATTTAAGACATGTAGGTCTTTCATATTCTTAATGGCTGCCATCCTGGTAGAGTCTTGTTCTTTAACTTAATTAAGATCATTTAAATGCTTGGCAAAACTGGTTTGATACCAATCCAGGAGTTTTTCCTCAATTGTAACGATTCTCCTTTACTGTGCAAGCAGCTCTGGGCAACGATACACCTGCCCCTCACCCTTTTTGGGGGCCTTTTTTCACCTGTTAAATTCAGCTTTTAACATTTTTCATTTTAAAACATACCATTTTTTTAATTCAGCACCTTGTTACTCCTTTTACTGAGCCAATAAAGGGAGTGTGGGGGAACAGATGTATAAATATGTGGGTAGATTTATTGGGCTACATGAAAATTAAGTCTGTCTTTAATCACCTGGGAAGAGAGAGACCCAGAGTTTTTTCTCTCCAACCCTGCATGCCTGGGCACAATAGTGCCCCCCTCAATTTCTTTACACTAGATCATGATGAGCTGCTTTATGAAAACAGCCTACTTAACGCTGTCAGACAGATTCCAATAAAGGTGATTCCACAGGATGACAGTGATCAGGTATAGGCATTTGTTAACTAGAGTGGGGCTGTCAAACTCATTTTAGGATCATCCCATTTCCAAAAGGGGTGATTACAGCTGTGTAGATAAAACTTTAAATAATTTCGTTTACAAATAGCTCACTGTTCTGGTATTATAACTTTACTCTGCTTCATTTAGCAATTTCAGCCACTTTAAATGCATATGCCACTATTTTATCTTATGCCATATTTGGCGACCAGAACCGGCCTGCAGGCCTTGAGTTTGACACAATGACCTAGATGGACAAATAGTACCACACCAAATAAATGATAAAGGTCCTGAAGGTTATTTTTTGTTGTTTTTATTCAGGCTTTCCTACAAGGAAAAAAAAAAAAGGTTTGCTGAAACATTTAGCTGTGATTAAAAAAAAGAACCAGAACAACTCTGTAAATATGCTTTTTTTTTTCTTTTTTTTTGGGCTCATGTTGGCTCCATACTTTAATGGATAAAAATATTTAAGATGATATCCAAATTTACAAATATTCATACTAAAGCACAGACCTAATCTGTTCTCCAATTATAGCTGGATGGAGTCCTGCCTGTGTGAGACACTTCCTCTAAAAGGACCAATGTGATCAAGGTCCAAACCGCCATTAAAGCCTCAATATGAGTTCAGGAGTTGAAGATCACTTCTTTGGAATCTAATTCAGTCAACAGACTCTTTCAATCACAGGAAATGCACAAAAATAACAGATACAAAACAAGAACCAAACTTTATTGAATTTGTTCCCCACTCGTGTTAAAACAAGCCCATCGTGTCACATTCCTTCATCAGATGGAGACAAGCTTACGGAGAGTAAAGCCAAGGTGCACAACAGAAAGGCACGGAAACCGTAGGTGGGGTTAAAACGCTCATAGCCGGGGAAAAATAAAATAAAAAAAATCCGTGCTTGTTTTGGTGCTCAGATGTTCCCATCAGAAACCAGGAATGAAGAACAGGACATGAAATACAAGCTTTTATTAGTTTGTCTGGCCAAAGACAAAGAAATAGTTAAATTAAGATTGAGGTTTATTCATCCATGTGATCGTTATGAAAGACTTCCTTTTTTTTTTTTTTAATCCGCCAAACAAATTATTAAATGATAAAAAGTAAATAGTTGAATTTGGAAAAACTTTAAAAAACAAAAACAAAATTGTTGTAAAAATGGCTGACCTCAATATATGGACAAAGAGAAATGGCAATTCTTTGTTTCTATTAGCCGGTGGTGCGATTTCTTTTTAAATTTTCTTTAAGGAAAAAAAACAAAAGCAGAACAAAACACATTCCACTCCATTTTTATCATTAAAAAAGCTTGTTTTACATTTAGAAATCGAAACAATGAGATTTAAACAGTCACTTGTTTCCTTTTCTTCTATTACTGATTTCTGCTGAGATTATTAATTACCAAACACATGCACAGACCAATCTGGGTGGAATCACTTCTTTTTACTGTTAAACTGTCAGAAAATGTCTGAAAAAAAAAATCCAGCAGATTAAAGTTCAAATGTTTTTCCTCAGAATTAAAAGCAAACAAATCAATTTCCAACATGTTTTTATGTGAACATTCCAAGACAATTGAAAAGTGTCAAACCACAATAAAATAAAATAAAACAAAACAAAGTGGTCAAAATGCTGGTAAAGTGTTACATCGTTTTTCCCTTTCACCAAGCAACTAGTTGTGCAACAAGTTTAGCTGTTCGTTACATGGAAGCTAAAATAAATCTGTCTCAGAAACAAGCTGGCTCTTACATTCATCAAAAAATCAACATCATTCATTCTATACAAGATTCATTTACACATATAGTATAGCACATAAAGCGAGGGCAAAAAGCCTCTCTGGGTTGGAGGAAAAGAGGAAGGAAGCTGTGGGGGAGGGAGTGGAGGGGTAACTTACCATCAATCTATGTTTAACATGCAGTTAATATTAAAACAATACTTCTTTGATCAGATTTTTTTTTGTAATTGATTCAGTCAATTGTCAGGAAAAAAATAAACTGCTAAAATTGAATGTGAGAATTAAGCTAAAGATTATTGCAAGGAGCCGCTGCCTTAGAGGGAAACTGGGTTAAATCCAGAAAGCTTTGTGATGCACCGACAAGCAGAGCAGGTGTGGGTCTGTATTTTTTGGGTGTTTTTTTTTTTCCCAGAAGCAGATAGGGTGGAAAAGGGAGGAGAGGCAGAAGCAGTAGAGCTGGACTTAAACAGACTGGTACCCCGTGCGGCTCTTCCGCCGACCAATCAGGTAAGAGATAAGCACAAGGATGATTAGGAAGCTGAGGGCCACACCCACTGCGATGGGCACCAAAAAGCTCAAATCAGAGTCCAGGAAGCATTCCTCAGCTGATGGACAGAGAGACATAGACAGACAGGAGGTTAGAGCTTCAGTACTAATGAAAGTAAAGGAGGTTTGGGGTTAGAGGGCTGATTAAACAATAAGCAAAAGCAGAACCTATAAAAAATTGAAACTATGTGGTAGTGATTACAGAAAAACATGAGGATAAATTATTAGGTGGCATGCAAAACATTAAGATTTATTTAGGAAAAGTAACATGCTCAATTATATTGATTTGAAGTCTAAGCCAAAAGCTGAGTATAAAAACTGGAAACAGCTTAAGCTGTGTAAGGAAAGCAAAAAAAGCTTAGCAATGGTCTCTCATGAAAGCTAAGAAAGCTTTTATCCATTAGCCTTACTTTGCTTTAATTACCTTTTCAAAAACACAATATAATTTACCACTCCAACACAGACTGAGCTTTCTAGCTGCTGAAATGGTGGGATTAAGCTGAATAGTTTATTATCTTTAGGTTTAATTTCTTCCCTTGACAGGATGAGCTCAGTATTTATATCGAGTTCACCATAAGATAGAAGATGAAAGTAATGATCAGTAGGTTGAGTAGTTTAAGTGTGTTTCCAGTCTTTATTCAAAGCTAACCTGCGGTCAGCCAGAAAAAGATTTCCAAAATAAAAGCCCACAAGATAACAATCAGTACCAATACACCACAGAAACACTGAAACGAGGCCCTTCTTGTCACCGATTAGTAAAAAGCAGTGAGTTAAACAGACAGCAACCACCCAACTCTGAACGAGGAAAGGAAGATTAGAAAGACTGGTAGCCCGTCGCCATGTTTCTCCTCCTCCCGATGAAATAAGCCAGCAGAACAATAAGTACGAGAACAAGCAGGGAAGCTCCGACAGCTATGGGAATAATGTAGCTCTCCTCATCAGCAAGGCAATCCTCAGCTAGACGGGAATGAAGAGAGCACAGGAGTGAATGTCTTACTGACCTCAGAGGAAAGAGATTCGTTAAAAAGCATGAACAACAACAGGGGATTCCATATTTACATTTTCAAAACATTTTTTATTTCCATTGAAAATACTAAAGACGCTTCATTGACAAACAAATCAAATGTAATGTAGTAGAGAGCATGAGAGGAAGCAGCTGGAATCAGCAGTCGTTTGCCTCAACTGAACAGAAATGGTCCTGCAGCAGATTCCCTTTTAAAGATGTGCAGTTCTAACTTAACACACCAGTGTCAGTGATTCATTAAAAGCAAAAAGCATATTAATGAGTGGTGTGATGTCAGAATGAGAAGTCCAGTTAAAACCTTTGTTGGTGCAACTGGACCATCTTGATAAGTAAGGCAACACGGTTGGTTTGTTTTTTTTCTTTACATACACAAATCACAAGCAGAAAAAAAAAAAATAATCAAAGCTCAAATTTCATTAAAAGCAATTATTCATACACATGTACAATAAACCTGTGAAAGCAAATTTTCACTCTAAAACTAACACGCAGCTACAACCGTGTCTCTGTTAACAGACTTTCTGCAGATTGCCATGCCTGAAACGGTTAAAACCTCAAACGCCCCGGGTCCTGAAAACCTTTCTGATCCAATAAGCTCCTGAAAGAACCTGTTTTTTTTTTTTTAAACCAGGAAATGTAAGCGATTACTTGAACACACATGGCGGTAAATTAACGTCTGCTGATGGATGCGGTTTGAGCCGCCGCAAATCTAATAAAATCTACAGGCTAACTGGACTTTCAGCTGCAGACCAGCAAAGGTTAGGAGGCTTTACTACAAAGTTGGTAACAAAATAAAATAAACCACTAGAGATGCACCAGTGGCAAATCAGACAGCCAAAAGCTTAAAGTTGCTTTTTTGTTTTCATTTTATTTATTTATTAAATGAAACACAGCTAAGAACTCCCTCCATGTTAAGTCTTAACTGTTTTTTAATGCTATAAAAAGCCTGAGGAGTTTCTCTCAGCATCAACCTGCAGCACATTCTGCCTGTTTTTTATTGTCATTTATTATTGTAAATAATGCGATATATTTGAATATTTTATTAAAAGAAAGAAGAAAAAAAAAGTTCAGACTAGGAAGTCAGACAAAAGCAAAAATTCAGAAAAGGCCAAACTGGTGCACCTCTTAAAACAAAAGTGTACTAAGATTTTTTTTTATGTTCAGCTTTTCAGCATTTAAACTGCTTCTGTTGTCATTTTTCTCCAAAGCTTTATTCCGATTTACCTTTAAACCGTCATTAAAGTTTAAAGACAAGGTGAAAGGTTTTCAGGACCGTGGATCCAGATGATCTTAACAAGCAGAGATCATTTGACAACAAGCGACACATAAAGACTCACTTAGTGCATTTCTATGCAAATATCCTGATTTCAGAATTATCTGCGTTGAAAGTGACAAAAATAATTTCCCTTTTCTAATTTTAATGCCACTGTGTTTGCTGACGATCATAAAAAAAAAAAAAAAAGGAGCTCACTTCCTAGTTTGCTCTAGCAGGAGTGTGTTCAAACAGCAAAACACGATTCACACAGGTTTAATTAATTAGGTAAACAATGGCTTCATCGTGCACTATTATCATCTTATTCTGTTTGCACTTTATACCTGATGCAGAAACCATTGTTTCTATCTAAACCAGAACTGCCTGATGTCGATGCTAACAATGAGAGAATATCTGTAAAGTAAAACCAAATCTGACGTTGCATTCATAACATGAACGGCCATAAATTCCCAATATTTCTTCTGATCTAAAGTGAATAAAACGAGAGGAAAAGCCAACGTGACCTATTCATGTTTGTGAAATTCTGGGAATAAAAACAGAAAGGAGCTTGAGTTCCTTGATTTGATAATTAATAGGATGAAAAATAAAACCATAAACCAAAACAAAGAAAGAGGAGGTGTACTGAACAAGTGCAGGATCATAAAGGTGAACATTGGTGTGAAAACTAGTGACCAGAGACAATAAACATTCAGGGATCTTTGCACCAGCATACAGAGCATAAGGCTTTGTGTGATTCTGTTTATCTGAACTGCAGGATTAACAAAAAGCAAAATGGAAAAGACAACAGGATAAAAACAAAACAAAAAACAAAAACTATGGGGATAATCAAGATTGGTCCTTGAGGGAAAAAATATCCAATGTGTTTTTGTACTAATGTCAATGTGTTATTAAAGCCATTAGAGGCCCTGATAAGAAAAACAGCTCATATTGTTCATTTTTCCTTTATTTTAATACCAACTGATCCTAAAAAGATAGTTTTTTTTCCCACCATATTTTGTGTTTAGCTCCGATTTTAAAGACATTTGCCAGATCAAAGCCAAGGACCAGGCTTGGGAACCCCGTGACCAAACTCAGGAACAAATGCACACAGGGATTTAAAGGGTCTGATATCCAGCATGGGTCTTTCTTCGACCAATCACGTAAGCGATCACTACAATGAGAATCAAGCCAGCCAGAGCAGCGCCAACAATGATTGGGATTAGGATGCTGGAGTCATCCAGTGAACATTCATGGGCTGCAGATAAAAAGGAGAGTGAGTCAGCTGGTGGAACAGTGAGGTTTTTTTTGTATTTTTCCTTTTCCTAAAATCACGGCAGCAAGAAAAACCAAGTTATACACCATCATTGATCACAGTAGAGCTGCTAAACACACCCTGTTGACTTCTTCACATTTTGCCCTTTTCCACCCTGATAACTTCACCGTATTTTACTGGGATTTTTTTTTTGCCTTAGACAAAGCAGTAAAATATTTTCATCTATAATCTTAGATAAATTCCAGTTTGTTAAACTAGAGTCCACCTGTGTTTCTTTAAATCAGGACCTTGGTTAGAGAACATAAGCGCTAAACTACCAAAACATGGCCCACCACCTAAACAGAGAATAGCCATGGATTGTGTTAGCTACACGTAGAAAAGTTCAAGGATCTGTACAGAATAACTAAGGTCTTTGTTATAGAACATTAAGTTTAAAGGTTTTGTTGGATTGACCAATAAGATCATAGTCATTGTTGCCTGAATAAACCACTCCTATAGTGAAACACGGTGGGGACAGAATCATGCTGTGGGGATGTATTTCTTAGGAAGGGGCAAGGAACTTTGTCGATATAGCTAAATATAGGGGAGGCAAACATGTTAGAGGTTATGGAAGGCATAAAAACCAGGGCTATTATGAGATGTTTTTGATCAAAGCAGATTTATGAGTTTAAAAGATCAGTAACAGATGTACTAAGCAGGTAGACAAACCAAACTAAGGCTGAATTTTCCTTTTGCTTTACAAGCATTTGCAACATCTTTGTTGTTCTACAACATAAAACCCCCATAAAATACAGTGAAATTTGTGGTTTTAAAATGACAAAATGTCAAAAAGTCACAGGAATGTAAAGACTCCTTTATACAAAAATGACGTTACATTGAATTTCTTATATTAAACGTGTTTTATCAAAACAAAAAGGTGAACAGGTGTCTGCTCCAGTCCCTGACAGTATAAAAGGATAAAAAACAAGTAAACACTCACCTGTGCTATAAAGGCCATTCTTCACTCCAAATGGTTGCACGTGCAGGCTGAAGGTGTAGAGGGAGAGCAGGTCGGTGATGGTGAAGTTTTGCTCCTTGTTGCACATGTAGGAGCTGCCAACAGTGGCCTCCCACAGAGTCAGGTTTGTGCTTCCCTGAACAAAATCCCCTTGAAGACAAAACAAAGACAACGCAGCACCAACGTTATCTCCTGCTTTGCTTGTTTAACCTGTGAAACTTTGTTGATGTGTAACAGAGGTAATAAATAAAGACTAGTCTGGCAGACTGCTGGTCTTTACCAGAGCCTGAGCTGATGTTGACGTTTATGGCCTGCAGGTGGAACTTCTTTGAATCCTGTAAAAGAAAAGAAAAAAAAAAAAGACAAAATTGAAGGCTTTTTTTGGTGTATGTCCTTCCTATAGACTCAGATAATGTCGGACAGACAGAGAGTTAACAAGCGGCACACTCTCTTAACAACTTCCCCTTTCTTTTATGATTGTTAAGCCCTAATGACCATTTATAATTCATCTCTTCTCACTTCCTGATTTATTCTGGGAAGTTCTCATATTTTAACACCTGTGCTATAAAAAAAGATGTTAAAAATATGCATCTCCCTGCTGATGCTCATAGAGATGGCCAAAAAATACACCACATATTTTCATATTGTGCAATAAATCCTTCATCTAGATCGTGGAAATCACTCAGATATCAGCCAAAGAACGGAGTACTGGAATATATCGGCTAGTATCTAAAATATTCAAAATAAGCAGCCAATATTTAAGATTAAATAACCAACCAGTTAATGATAAATCAATCAGTTTTCACACATTTTGTTGTCGACTATTATCCTCTGTTTGAGTAACATCACGTGATTAAGTCTTTCCTACGATGCCACTATACAAATTAAGTACTAAAAGTATGTATGAGCTGAGCGTGTTTTGGTATCGCTCAATAATCAAAGCTGCAATTTTTTTTTTTATTGGAAAGGAAAATATTGTATCCAGACACCCCTACAAAATACCCTCAGAATTCAAGATTCGGACTATATTAAATTTAGTAGATGTACAAAAACAAAAACTACAAAGATCTGGTACAACACCTGAACATTAAAAATCTGCAAAAGAAAAAAAAAAAGAAAAAAAAGAAAAAGGGAATAAAACTTTCGCTCAATGATCCTTTATAAACTAAGTACAGGTCTGAAGCATAAGAGTAAATTAAGATTTATTTTTAACCAAAACAATAGAAACTGATTCAAAAGCAATCATGTTTTTGCCGCATGCTGCTTTGCAAGTGTATCCATTCCTTATTAGTTAGAAAGATTGGCACCAGGTTTCTTGTAGTATTTAGATTTGCATTTTCTTTTCCTTTTTCTTTTTAAAGAGTTTTTTTTACCTAAAGTTGCCATGCTAAGAAAATTCAACCAAATTAGATTTTAAATGTTCTTTTCATAACTTAATTCATACATTTAGTTGAGGCCGATTATTTATCTGAAAGCAATCCATGAAGTGAACAGCCATTATAATATCATCCTCTATCATTTAAGGCTTACTCAATGCATTTAAAATCCCACTGTTAACACAATTTCCCCAAAGAACAAGCCGTAAAACAATTAAGGTAAAAAAAAATGCTTAAACTTCTTAAAGACCAGCAGAAGTAGTAAAGTAAAACATTTTAATAACACTTTTAACACCATAAAAAAGCTTATTGGTGCATTTTTATATCTTAATATTTTATATTATGAAGTCTTTTTATCGTGGCTTGTTAATGAAATGCCTAATTTATATCTTCTTTGCCTTTTCATACTTTTTTTTTTTTTTTTTTTTTTTGGATTGTTGGAACTGAGTTATCTGAGGTTACAGCACTTTTTTTTTTAAGAATCAGCCAATACTGAAAAATAAATCAATTTTAAGTTAAATTTTTCAATAGTGTGGTTTTATCTTTCTCCATAAGAGAAGCTAAGCAGTTTTACTCTAAAACTAAAACACTGTTATTGCTGGAAACTCACACTGACGAAGGTGAGCTTAACAGTGATGTTTCCAGACACCAACTGAAGCTCACTGCTGTTGACTCCACATATCCCAGAAGCTTCAGCTGGAGGCTCAAAGTTCGTTTCCTGATATTTCTAACAAAGACAAAATAAAGTTGAAACATCAGTGGACCGTTTTAAAGAATCAAGATCGTTCTGAGACAGCTGCTAAATTCTGCACTGATGAAGATACCTCGTTCTGTTTGAAACCAATCCTCAGGCCAAAGCTGGCCAGCAGGCAGGCCGTGCTGTTCACATCAGGCTTGACGGAGTAGTTCCCAACGGTGGGAGTGGGGAGAGTGGGTGTTGGGGTGGTAGGAGGAGCAGTCGTGGTTGCGTTAGTGGTCGGTGCCATGGTGGTAGTCGCGTTTGTGGTTGGTGCCACGGTGGTAGTGGCGTTTGTGGTCGGTGCCACAGTTGTTTTATTGGTGACTGGAGCGGCGGTGGTAGTTTTCGGCAAATCTGCAGCGCAGCTAGTTACTGTAAAAAGGAGAGGACGAATCAGAATTAGATATGTGGGACAAAGATCATGCCTAGAAGAGAAGAGTGTCTGTTTCTGTATTTACAGTTCTCGCTCTTGGTTCCATTGACGACGAAGGCCTGTATGAGCACGTTTGACAGAGTCATGTTGACCTCTGGCGAAGCTGCGATCGTGTCTTCACTTTTGCAGGAGTAGCACGTGTCCAAGCCAATATTGGCAATGTCAGGCTTTACTGTCACAGATACGGTTCCTACAAGCAAGAAAAGATTGTTTTTTTTTTTTTAAGTCACAGCTTGTTTAAGCATGTTTTTATTCCAACTATGAAGTGAGAACAGAAGTTACCGTTGGCTGAAGAATTTGGGAAGATGTGGGAGTCATTAAGATTGTAGGTGAAGGTTATGACGTCGGCCTGGTAAGTGTTGTCTTTCTGGGTGAAGTTAACGCTCCAGGAGTGTCTGTCTTCGAAAGTGAGCATCAGGATGGAGCTTGTGTCGTCACATTTACTAGCATCCGACGAGACAGAATCAGGAAGCTCAAATGAAACGGTTTTACTCTGAAAGAGAGAACAATCATCACACTATCAACATTACAACTGTAATATGTTCCCTAAATCAGCCCAGACTTAAAAGTCCATATCTCTTTTTTTTTTAAATGTTGCGGTTTATGTGGGTTAACTTTTAATTGAGCCGTAATGTTTCTATTGTTGTACTTCTTTGGGAAATCAGTTGGTTTATTCTTGCCTTTCTGTTAATGAATAGTTAGATGTTCCCTAAACTGGACTAATTATACCCTTTTCAATAAAAATATCACTGCTGCTTACCTTATCAAGGCTGCACTTTAAAAAATGAAATAGTCTAGAGAGCTGTATTTAACGAAATTTCTTTTTGTTTGCACTTGTGTGTACAAAATAAAAATCTGTCTGTCTTTTTACTGATCTGTCTTGTATAAAGGGTTTCTGCTGCCTGATAAACTTCCTCGTTCTTGGGTCTAAACCACTGCAGCCTCTCAGACCTTGTTTGTTTTATCAACAGAGGAAAAGACGTTCTTTCACATCAAAGACTTTTAATCTAATCATAAAGAAAATTCCTTAAAGGATAAAAAAGTTATCAAATAAAAGCAACTTTTATACAGCTGTAAAAACATCTGTTACACATAGCGTGGTTAAAGCCTACTATACTTGGCCTAATTACTAATCTAATGTTGGAATTTTTATGATAGCCTCCAGAAATGAAAACCATAAAATTGTATTGCCATTTAATTCTCAATACTAAACTTTTAGCAATTAAAATTTGAATCATTAGTTTAGATGATGTTCATGGGAACCATCAGGTGTTTCTTGGGCATGTGACAAAGATAGTAAAGCAGCACATGATGCCTTATCTGGCGCATCACTAATTAACTGAAGCACAGAAGTAATGTCATTGGTGATGTTGCTTTTCCACTCTGTCGAATGGTAGAGAATATACATTTTATTCATAATTACAGGTTATTGGACATAATCAATAAATCACGTTAGTTCTGGCCCATTTCGGTAATGTTCCAGCTAGTGTTGAATATGCGTTGGTCCAACCTCCTTTTAAGAAGAACCATTTAGATCCTGCAGTTGTCTCAATCTTCAAATTTCCATATAGCTCTTTCTTTTAAAGGTAAATGAATATTTGATGAGCCTCCGCCGCAGCAAGAGAACATGGGCGACTTTCTTTGTAGATGGATCACAAAAGACCAGCAACAGGTGAACCTCAAACCCCATTAAAAACTCCACACAAAACTAAGAAATAAAACATTTTTATAGAGCAATGCAAAGGGCAAAAACTGTAGGTCTGATCGACGACAAACACAAGAGAAAGTATTTGGCCAGCTTTCAACAAGCAAAGAGCTCAGATCTGCCCATTGAATGGTCCTGTTTTTGTTATAAACATACAACGCTCCATTGAAAAAAATTCATTACATAAAACTTTCTTACCTCAGAAGACATTAACCTTGAAAGAAAACACTTGTGCATTACAGCTAGAGATGCACAGATATCATCAAATCAACTGATTGGATCTTGTATGAATGACACTGATTTCTATCATACACATCAATACAATTACAGCGAGCAATTTTTAGGCAGCGGCTATATCTTGTAATTTTAAAACACCTGTTTACATAGAAGCTTTATTTTTGCTTCAAATGTAATAAGTAATATTAAGTTCATTTATATATGTGTTAATTGGCCACAGTTCTGAACCACTTGTGCACACACATCAGTAAAGCCTGATGCGTGTACACGACTGGGATCGTTTCAACTCGTCACCAGAGGGGAGAACGTGCAAAAACCATGAAATATGCGTTATAATCCTTTAAACACTTTCAGAGACACATTTTTGTTCTCTTAATTTGGCTGCAAGAGCACCTGCATATTTAAGATATTCATTGGTGAGGGTGCAATAGCTCAGGCCTGCTGTTATTAACAGGGACTTATTAGTAAACTGATGGTTTATCTTAACTTGATTAATGCCATTGAGTTATTTATTCATTTCATGCTTTTATTACATCTAGGCTGGACTACTGCAACTTCGTCTATAGTTACATTAATTTAGACTCTTTTCCCCTGCTAACAGGGACAAAATGACAACGCAAACCTTTAACTTTTCCTTTTAGTTTTTAAATGAGCAACTGTTTGGTTCCTCTTTATGTCAACAAGCATTTACATCCACGTCTCACCAATAGATCTATAAGCCATTTAGAGCTTTATAAGCTGCAGCCCAAAAGCTCTGGAACAGCCTCCCTGTTTCTCTGAGGTTTGCTGGTCAGACCATTCCTCATCTCTTTTAAAGCAGATTTTTATTCCTGTCCATGAGGCCAGTCCTGGTTTTCTTCGTTGCCTTTGCTGATTTTATTGTTCTCTTGCCACACCTAAGTTATAGTGCTTAGCTTTTTCTGTCTTCCTTTTAGTTTCCCTTAGTTTTTATTCATCTGTAAAACAGTTTGGTTGTTTTTTTTTTATTTGTAAAGCACTTTATAAATAACTTGATGATAACTTTTCAGCAACTTTTGCTGCCTCAATGTTTTACAACAACCGTAAGGCCCAATAAAAAGGAATCTAGGTGTAACAGCTCTTAAAAAGGGAGTGCTGCTAACTCGCTCACGCAATAATGCTGTTTAGAACTACAGCATAAATTACTATCCTGTAAGCTACCTGAATCAAACTATTTCTAAATAGCATTTTTTAAGTTATTTTAAACATCTATTAAAGATTCTATACTATAAAAAAGGAAACATTTAATGGTGTTTGAGAGTTTTAAAACCACTAAAAAGTCTTATTTTCAACTTTTGTCTAAAATGTACCAAGGGAAATTATTTGGCAAAACAACTGAAGGATGTACATCAGGAAAATGCACTGAATGAAATGCTGAATAGCAAGATTTTGCTTGCTTTTGTCATGACCTCCCCCATTTCCCCTTTAATGATAACTCTGGCTTCCTCAGTGATATGACAACCACGTGGTTCAGAAGGCTGATAAGAGGAAAGCAGCTGTGATATAAGCGAAGTAAACAACACTGGAACCTGGATTTGTTTTATTTCAGAAGCAACCACTACTCCTGCTGTAGTACTCCTTGCATTTACCATACATTTAAGCACATTTAAGTGTGGTGTGTGTGAATATTAGTTGGGTTGGGGGTTCCTGGGGCCTGTGCAATGTGGTTAAGTTCCTTTATTTTATGGAGCTGTACCTCTATATGACTTTTTTTTTTATCTACTTGTGCACGTTGATGTATGCAAAGACCATAAAGGAATCTTATTTCATTTTTTAAAGAATTGTAAAACAGGAGACTGAGAGAAAAATGAAAGTGTTGCTAGACACCCACCTTATTTTCAGGTACTTGATAGGAGACTGAGAAGCTGAGCGTCAGGTTGGCATAAAGACACAACTTGTCCCCGTCTTTAACTTTTACCTCAATGGCGTTGGACCGCTGGGACACTGAAAGAAAACAAACTGTGTTACTTTGGTTGAAAAAAAGATTAGAAAACCATTAAGTAACCATATTTATTTACCTTACAGACATTTCTTCCCCTTAAAAGTCCTCATCTTGTTTTGTTTTTTTCCCCTCAGGCCACTAATGATAAATTCGCTGACTTTGTGATGTCCTAACTTTGTTATTCCAGCCTCAGCTGCACGTCATCAATATGCTAGAAGATAAATTCCCACCTGGTGCTCTAGATGAACATTTGGCTACTGTGTTCTTGCTTTCATATCTCCCATCTTCTAAATCAAACAACATCCAAACATGCTTCCACTACCATAAGGTCATGAAAGGTGACAGTTTTTCGAAAGAAATTATGCCTGAAAAACAGTCCAATAAATTGAGATTAGAGAGTTTTGTTTTACAATCTGATGGTCTGCGATATCAGCCTGCATTACTTTGCCTCTAAGCGGATTTCTTTCACTATTTGTGCATACAATAACACACGAGAATCCATCCAGCTCAACCACTGGAGATTTCAGAAAAACGGTTCAGCCAATCATGTTGTAGTATTCTGGTTTTAAGGTGAGACCTGAAGCCGTGATAAAAAGATCACAAGATTCAAGAGCTGGCTTAAAGTGAACATCGCAGGAGGATGTAAGCATAGCTGCTTCTGCCACATCTGTGTGTCAAAACCCAGCATTTTATCTTTAAAATGTTTTGTTGTAGTTTCTTTGTTTGGCTAAAAAGCAAACTTTGGTAGGTGTGTGCACCAGGAATCGCTCCGCCCAATTAGCTCTGAAGGTTCCGCCAAACGTCCCTCCTCTATACGAACACATTCAGTGGGAGCCATCCCAGATTAACAATACATATAGCTAATCCTGTGTGCTACACATGAACAGTTTAGCTTTCAAGACTACAGTCAGCCCATTCCACCATAAATGCATCAGTGGTTTAGAGCCTGAGGAATGACTGACCATCTAAAGGTTTCCATCTGTACGAGGGAAATGAGAGCCCTAGGTCTCCTCTGATATTGTCGATTTATGCTTTGGCAAAATCTAGTCCTATGGTTTCTACAGAGGGCTCCTTTTATTATTCTGTCTAGTTTCTGCTCCAAAATGCACAGTCAGTATTTTCCTTTAGAAAGTCTGTTTAATCCATGGACTTTATCACAGGTGGTAGGCAATCAGGGAGCAGAAGCATCTTAAAGATTATCAGTAGTAATTAGAGAAAGACTGGTTGACATCTTTGGAGATATTAGACATAGAGCTTTTTTTTTTCTTTGTATCAGTTGACATGTACATGATACGAATCATTAGTGCATTCAGCAGCCGTGCCTTCTGATCACATGGAAGACGTCAATTGCCACTCCCCCATTAGCTAATCCATTGGTAATGTTTTGCTTGATTTGTCAGTGGATGTTTCATATGTAATCAAACCAAAACTTGTGTAAAATATGTTGTATCGTCACATCAGTGTGTTATTTTCATAATTTAAATAGAAAAAGCAATATCGGCTGTAAGAATCAGCCTAAAGATATCTGCAACAACACAGACAAAACTGTTTGTTGTTGTCAGGAGATGTGCTTAATCTTGCAAGCAAACAGAGCTAACAATATATATATATATATATATATATTTTTTATAAAAAAAAAATAAAGAAGTTTGGTTTCAGGCTAAGAAAACCACAAAAACAGTTTCCTGTATGTCAGCTTCAATGTGTTAAATAGACCCATCAGAATAGCAACAAATATTTAAGAGTCTGTGTTTAAGTGAGCAACATATTTGTGAAATAAAAATCAAAAGTGGATGCTAAAGCCATCAGAGTGTGAGCTAAAACTGGTTTAAAAAAGCAGCTGCAGCAAAGTCCACTGATAACGCACTGTGCGAATCCCCATATACAGGTTAGCGGAGAGAACAAGGTCCATTTAGATAACTGATAAGGCTTTAGCATTGTGCTTTGTCATCACCTCAAACTCTGGCAGAAATTTCCAGTAAGCATAAACATATAAAAACCAATCCCTCTACATGTTTATTAGTACCAAGTGGCGAGACGTTTACTGTGTGGGTCAGGTGGAGACTGGGCAGGGATTTATCTGTACATAAGCCAGAGCCAAAACAAAAGTCACATGAGAGACAATGTGGGACAATCAGAAGCAGCTGCAACAACGATTCAACTTATGACTAAGATTGAATAATTGGGGCACCTGCCAGTAAGCAGAATTTTTTAACATATCAAGTCGAGCTGTCTTACAGCAGATCCGTGTACTTAACATTTAGCACTTTATTTTAGATGAAACCCAATATATTTGAAGGAAAATAGATTAAACCAATGTTTAATCTTTCAATGTTAGTCACTGATCTTACTTTAGCATGTTCTGTCTGTGACAGAAGCTGTGGTTATAGCAGTCACTCCTACTGTGGCTGCTTTGAGTCCAAGTGTAAAACATTTGACACTACAACTTCCTGACAAACAGATCCTTGGTCAGTTTCTCTGAATCAGTCTGTCTCTAATTTATACTGATAATCATGTGCTGCTACCGAAGTCTGAAAACCCCTAAAAGTTTACACCTAGCAGTTCTCTATGGTTTAAAATCCTTCAAGGGTGCCAACTTTCAGCTGAGTTTTTCCCGCTGCATAATAAAGCACCATCTCTTCCCCACATACTGCTGCACACTGGGTGTCAGCTGACTGAAAAAAGGCTATAACACATTTCCATTTTTTTTTTAAAGACAAAAAAAGGTGTTAAGAAAAATGATCAGCTCTGTAAAAACTAACTTAGAAAACCTAAAATAATGAATTTTGTAAATAAAATTTGTAATAAATATAAAGAATGAAAAAATATAACTCAAGAACAATTTTTAATGTAACCTGAGGGACATAAATAAGTATTTCAGATTTTAACATGCAGGCACGCAGATGTTTTAAACCTGTCCTTGACATAATTTAAAATGTACTTGATGCTCTTTTTATATTTTTATGAGATGCAACTCTATGAGTGCAATAAAATAAAATAAAGGTCAACTCCAAAACACAAAAGTTAGCCGCTGCTAACCTGCTGCTAAAAGATGCTAATGTTAGCTCGGCTAGTTCAGAAAGGGTCTAAAGTTAAACATTGATAAGGGACATTTTTTTAACAGCCATTTCTTTGTAGTCTCGGATTCTTTACCTTCTTAACACATAAGAATAGAAAGTCCAAGACTCTACCTGTAACTCGAGCTTAAGCTTCTAGGAAAAAATGTTACCTAATCGGTAAGCCTGCTAACGGCCAAGTTAGCCAACATCAGTTACTCCAAACAGCAGCTCATATATTAGTACAGTTTATTTGTATTAAGGGGATTTAAGCAACTCAAAGTCTAGCTTAGGTATGAATTCAATAATTAAAGGTTGTTTTATGTTTTAATGTACTTCGAAGCTTTATTCTTTTGAGAGAGTTTTACGTTGACGTAGTAACAATTAGCAACGAAGCTACAGCTGCAAAAACACTACGACTGCGTTCCATCAACCGGCATTAATATCTTTTAAAAAATGTTATTCAATTTATTGAAAGCATTTACATATGCAAATTATAAAACGGTGACAATAAAAAAATATATCTTCAACAGTTATTTTTATTTAACCGATGAAGGCCTGGAGTATAGTTTAATCACGTCACTTCTGTGAAACCGATCCAAACTTTCGTTATTTTTACTACTTCAGAAAAAAAATAAAATAAATAAAAATCTGCGGTGATACGTACCGAGTCCAAGAGAGAGAAGGAAAACAAATGCAGCATATCTGGACATGATCGCAGCGGGGTTTGGATCTTCAGTCGCTGAGAAGAAATGAAAACAGTAAAGAGACAGACGCTCAGTCAGGCGCGATGACAGTGCCAGGAAATACAAGTCATATGACTGTGAATAATGCAGAGGGAGGTGTGGACGGAAGCCTGCTTCTATTTTGCGCTTTAAATTATTAAAAAAATACACGCTGAAGCTCTAAATGTCAAACCCTGTCACCTAAAGATATGTATTTAGCATTTTCCTTTGACCATACAAAGGGAAAAGATAAAAACTAATTATATTTAAATACAAAAAGCTGAAAACTTGTTTGAAAAACTATTTTTTGGCTCAGCTCAGCTTGGAAAAATAAAACAGACTTCATTAGCTTGGGGTCATTATTAGAAACTTTCTTATATTATAAAACCGTGAGACAGACTCTTATTTTGAAGGTCTTGTTTTTATGATTTTATAGGATGCTCTTCTTGCTTCTAAAGTGAATTTCGAACTGCTATTCATGTATTTTCCTGTGTTTCTATATCTTTTAAGAAAAATATTGTTTGAAACTAACATCCATGTATTCACGATGTTTAATTGGTCTATATACTAGTTATTCATAATCAAAGACAATATATAAAAAGGCCTTTCTTACAAGAGGAGCAAGTATCAATTGCCCAAAAAAGGAATAAAAAATGCATTGCAGAACCAACATATTTAGCTTTTGTTCAATTTCTAATATTAAAGTAGGCAGGAGTACATTCAAAAGTCCAAGTTTTCCAAAAACACAGAAGCAAGGCATAATGGAGCAACGGCATAGGTTCCACATTTCAATATAGTATTGAAGAAGAAAAAAAACTGTAGATAACTTATGAGAATATATTGTAGAAATAATGCCAATACTAATGAGTTGGGTTTAGATTGTAATAGAAAAGGATATGTTGGATAGTTTCACAAAAACAACCTGGTTAGGCATTAAATCAAATAACATATTTAAGTATTTTTATTAAATTTAGAAACAGAAGACCTAGAAAAGAAAAGGGCAGGGCCCAGAGGGGCACTTGAGAACAGTTTAGCACACTTTTTGGCTCCCAAGAGAGAGGGGCCAGCTTTGATCTGATAACAAAATTCAAAATAGAACCAGAGAGGTGAATTTTGTTGCTGTTGTAGCTTAGATTGAGCTTTCCAAAAGAATTCGCTGATGATGGTCAAGGTGTACTGTTCTGAGCCCCCACTACCTTGAGGAATTGCTGGTTGCCCTTCATAACTAAATCAGCCTCCCGAAGTCTTCATCTGGCCATCAGGTAGATCTCTTTGTCCAAGGAATGTCTTTGACAATAGAGAGCAGACATTTTACTCCAGCATGGCATTGTTATACTCTATGCACAGGTAGATTGAGTGTTCATGGGGGGTTCTAGTCAGGGGAAAGTATCACTTTAAACCTGGTCCCTGTTATGCATGCCTTGCTGAAAACATAATACCAAATATGTCTTATATGATAACAGGTTTTGGCATAGAAACTGTAACTGATTGGTCCCTTGGATAAATAATATTTTGGGGAATTCACAGGTCTACTTTAACAGTAATTTATAAATAAAGGTATTGCACTTTTAACTTGAGATAAGATTGCAATCTTCATCGCTAGATCAGATCAGAACCTCCAGATCCATGAGTGGCTTTTTGGCTCTCTTTATATAACAAATGATAAACTACTGTCCTGTTTTTTGTTTTCTGTTCTATTCTTTTGCTCTGGCCCCCAATGAAAAGCCCCTGCCCCAAACTGCCCCCCTGGTAAAATTGGTCTGGAGCTACCACTGAGAACTGGCTCACCCAAAAAGCCAGCTTCAGATTAGACGTCCTTTGAGCCAACCTACAGCCAATGACTCCTGCTCTCTTGGAAACAAGTGATGTCACTAATGTTCCTCTACCTCCTCATTGCCAGTGATCCTACTTTCCTCAAAATTGGTTTATTTTAGCCCTGCCTGTTAAAAAGTCGCCATGGCTTTTTGTGACTCCTCTGACACTGCTGTTGTTTAACTGCTCCAAATAAAAGAGGCAACACTTTTAAGAGGAACGTAGCACGAGGGCTGGATATCAACCTCATCTTACACTTTATCATACACAGCCTCAGCCTACAATGTATGCATAACACGATCCTGTTAGTGGACTTTCGCCCAGGTTTTAACAGTCAATGGGTTGATGCAATCAGCTGGGTTCCCTTAGACAGAACTTTTTTAAACTAATCTGATTTGATTGAATTGTCTCTGTAAAGTACATTGAAATGACATGGGTTGTGATTTGGCGCTACAGAAATAAACTGAATTGAACTGAATTAAATTAATCAGAAGCGTAACTGTGTCACAATCCCGGCCTCCACCTGTCGGTGGATCAGAAGGTGCCTGACTGGCAGTGGTGAGTGAGGTTGCCGTTCGTACTCTCCTGCCCAAAAACCACCAACATCGTAGTTATCTACCACACCGCCATCGTTTAGCTTTTTTATGTACATCCATGTCTGTGTAATCTGTCTTATCTACAAAAAAAGAACAGACCCAAATTACCACAAACAATGAGGTCTACAGAGACAATCCTTGGGACTGATCACCCCTCCATCTATGACCTGTATAAGGCCAAAACGAGCACCTAAGATCAACCCTACACATCCAGGAAAGCGCAACAGAGTACTAATGGCAAAAACCAACATGGAGGCAGTCTCTCTGTTGAAGTTAATTAACACCTCACAGCCACCTCCTTGCAGAGCACGCCGACACCCTGGTAGAACAATTGAGGCATGTGCAAGTCAACCGCCCTTCCCTTTAACATTTACAAAAAAAATACCCTACATTTCTACATATTCCTTTAATTCTTATCATACCACATTAATGAAAGATTTTTTACATAGTGCGGATGTTAGTGTATCATGGATTGTGATGTGAGTGATGGAACAGCAAAGTGAAATTTCTTTTATGTGCACACAAACTTACATTAAAGTTGATCTTATTCATTAAACCTGTTGGCCAGTGTGGATGCATTAAGGTACTTCAAACTTGAGGACTAAGTCCAAGGCATAGGGGCTGTGGAATCTACAGAGCAGCAGTCTACAGGGTAGGAGCTAACAGCTGAGCGGCAGACCCTCACAGATGGAGATGCCTGCTAACTTAGCCTATATGCACCGCGGAGCGTTATCACAGATCCTTCCTCCCAGCAGCTGTAAGACTTTATATTAACCACTGCTGCCAACAACCTCAACCAATTCAATTAAATTCAAATCAATTTATTTATATAGCGCCAATTCACAACACGTCATCTCAAGGCACTTTATAGTTCACCAGATCATACAGTCAAATTGATTCAAAGTTTTCTATCTAAGGCAATCCCTCACACTAAGCTTGTAGCGACAATGGAGAGGAAAAACTCCCTTTTAACAGGAATAAACCTTCAGCAGAACCAGGCTCAGCGCGAGTGGCCATCTGCTGAGGCCAACTGGGGTTCAAGACAGAAACAGAAATACAGAAAGAAGCAGGGATACAAAAAGCAGCTGTAAAAGGTGGCCCCGTCCAGGAAACACACAGCCAGGCAGACGAGCTTCAAGCCATCTCCCATGTCAGAGGATGAACAGAGCATATCCAGCCACTCACGGTCAGAGAAACAGGACTACACTGGAAAACAGGCCAATCTCCAACATCGATAAACAAAGGTGTTGATGGCAGCAGCACAGCTGACCAGATGAAGGAACAGACCAGACGAAGCTACTATGACGAAAAAAAATCAGAGAGAGCATAACGTTAGATTGAACTAACAGATTCTGTAGAGCGGGAGAATAGAGATAGAATGAAGCAGAATGATGAAAAAGTGATACCTACTGTATGTCCTCCAGAAGTCTAAGCCTATAGCAGCATAACTATAGAGATATTTTACTTCTAGAAATATTAGGAACCACTGGTAAACCTGCAGATTGAGAGCAAAGTGCTCTGTTAGGAACACAAGGAACAATCATATAAGATGGATTTAGGCCATTTAACGCTTTATATCGAGGAGGATTTTAGTTCTACTCTTGATTTAACAGGAAGCCAATGAAAAGAAGCCAGGATAGGAGAGATATGATCTCTCTCTTTAATTTTAATCAGAACTCTGGCTGCAGCATGTTGGATCAGTTGAAGGCTTTTAACTACAGTTTGTGGACTTCCTGATGGTAAAGAATTACAATAGTCCAGCCTTGAAGAAACAAATGCATGAACTAGTTTCTCAGCATCACCCCTGGACAGGAACCAGAGCCTTCAACCTAAGGTCCAGACTATGGTGATATGCTGGGGTTGAGCATCCTCACCAGGCTGATTAAGGTGAGGGTCCACTATATAGAGAAATAGCAGACAGAATCCAGTACTGTCTGCAGTTTAGACAATCACCTCACCAATGGTGGACTTGTGCACCTTTTTAGCACATGGCTCTGAGAGCTAGCAAGCAGCACTGTTGCTAGGTTTCCAAGAGTCAACCTGGAACGTCTCCTCCACCCTTTTTGGCATGTGCTGGGTATTTTTACTTCATGTCTCCATCAATAGTGGACTCCTGAGCAGGCACATGATGCAGTATTCACCTTCATAACTGGACAAATAACTGCAGTCAGCTAACCACTGGTGTGCAGAACAATACAGATTATGTCTTCTTTCTATTCAGTTAACATTCATAGTAATATCTTGCAACTTGTCAGTGAAACACAAGCTAAACATCCAAAGTTAACCCGACCAATTGTTGAATCATGACATGCTGACAAGTCAATTTAGCCATCTGATTCTGGGGTATTGAAGAAAAAAGCTGCAGCATAATTCCAGGACATGTCCTGGGTTGAAAAGACCCTTTTAATTGATTAGATAGGTAAGGCGTGTTAAAAATGCATCCATTGATAGCCAGTGTATTAGAAACTCATGTAGCATGAAGTACCAGAGGAAAAAAAAAAAAAGTATTTGAAATCTTTTTTTTACCATTCGGTGCTAATTCAAGTTTACTTAACTCAAATATGTTCACAATGTTTTTTTCACTTTGTGATACAGCTGATCTATAGGCCCTAAGGCTCCCAAAAAGTCTGACTTTTCTTTGGTTTTATCAAAATTCAGGTCTTTGCATATTATG